ATGGGGGGGGCAAAAATGGGGGAACCCAAGCTTGATTTGGTGGGGGGGGGGTCCTGATTTGATGAATGGAGGAGAAGGAGAAATCCCATGAGTAGTTCTTATAGGGCAGAAGCAAAAAATGTGATTGTTTTTCGGGTGGTGGGTAAATATGGGAGAGTTTTGGGGTGGGAGGGGCAACCTTAGGGAGGGGCTTGTGCCCAGAGAGGGGGACTCAGAAAAGAAAGTGGATTTTGAGGGGTGGGTGTTGCTATGGAAGACTCAGAATGAATAATGGAGGTGGAAGGCAAGATGAAGGTCCGTGGAGTTTGATCATGGTGGGGGGAATCTTCCTAGAAAGGGGGGCAGAGCTGGCTGGGAGGGCCTCGGGAAGGCAGGCAGGTGAGGCGCTTAGGAGCCGGTCCCAGGTGGGGAGGGAGAAAGCCCAGGGGGAGGGGCTGGGTGTGCTGACGGTGAAGGAAGGCAAGGAGGAATTTTTACCATTTTCAGGGTAGAGGGTCTTCTCACGGGGGGGGGGGGGATCATTCTGGGCTTTGAAGCCAGTGGGGTCAAGCCAGGAGTGGAATACGGGGACCAGTAAAGGTGGGCTGCCCTAGAGGAAACCAGGGGGGTGTGTGGTTGTTGGGTGCGGTGGTTGCAAATGGGAAGAAAGCTATAAGCTTGCCCTGGAAAAAAAAGGGGGGCCCTCATGAGCAGAGAAATTTGGGAGGATGCGAGAAATTAGCTCTTGTTGGAATGCTTTACTGGGGGCTGCAGTGTGGCAGAGGGGCTGGTGCCTTTGTCCTTGAACTCGGGAGAAGCACCCTTGCTTTTGGTGGGGCTTGATGGAAGGTTGTGTGTTTGGGGGCTCACAAATGTTGCATTGGAGTGTGGGTGTGGTATCTGCAGAAACAGGGCCGGTGTGTTTTCCTCCTCCTCCTCCTCCTCCTCCTCCTCCTCCTCATCCTTTTCTGCATGCGTCCAGCCTATGCAGAGGGGAAAAAAGGACCGCAGAGACGGCAGTGAACGTTCCAGAACTCTGTTCGAGTGGAAGGGCTGTCCTTCTCGGCTGACCTAGGGGAGGGGGACTTGGGGGGGGAAAAAGCATGATTTCCCAGCAACGTTGCCCTCGCCACCCTGCTCCCTCCTGCGAAAACGCCTTTTGTCCCAAATACGGAAGAATTACATTGCCAGAACGCATGGGCAACGACAACTGCAGTTGCATCATTGTGGCAGATTTGACACTCGTAGTGATGAAAGAGCCTATGAATGGATTCAGTGAAAGGGCAACAAATAATTAATCCCGGCTAATTTGGTTGCTGCAGAAGGATTACTGCAAATCAAGGGGTGCTGTGGATGTGTGGAAGTGGACAGGGAGGGGGTGCCTGGTGCATGTATGGGGTGAGGGAATTTCCTGAACTATTTTGGTTTCCCCAAAAGGACTGGAGGCATGTATTTTTCAGCTGCTTTGTGATTGCAAAAGGATTCATAAGGGTGATTCTTCTCCCCCAAATGGCCTTAAATGCTGCCCTAGAAAGCATCTAGTGTGAACCAGCGGGGAGGCATGGCAGAGGTGTGCCAAATGAAGTATGCCGTGCGGAAGGGAAAGAAAGGGGCCCTTATTTTCCCTCTCCAAAATCCTAGAACCCAAAGGGGGCAATTCGAAGGAGCTTGATTGGCAGGAAAACTGGGACCGATCAAAGAAAGGCCTTCTGCCTGCAGTACATGATCAATCTATAGAACTCACTGCCGCAAGAGTTTGTGACGGCTGCCTGTTTAGAGGGCTTTGAAAAGGGATTGGGCAAATTCCTGGAGGAGGAGAAGGCTCTTCATGGCTGCTAGTCCTCATGGCTTGCTGCCACTTTGACTATTGGATGCAGTACGCCCATGTTGGACCAGTTGCTGGGGAACATGGGTGGGAGGGTTCTGTAGCTGTCTAACATGCACATTCTGTGTTTTCTGACTAGAATCAACATCTGCTGAAAACCTTTCTGTGTAGGCCTGCCTTCCCTTTCTCTAACCAGCCACCATTTCATGGGCATCAAATGTTGTTTGTTTAAATCAAGTTTCTAGGCCACAGGGCTGGAACGTTTTAATTTTCTAGCCTAATTCCGCAGCCCCACACAGGTTCAGACCTTGTAAAATAACATGAATAAGGGTTAGCTGGAAGGATGCAGTATTTTTTGTTACATTCTTGCCTTTTTTCCTCTTGGGGGAACTCGCTGCAGCTTACCTGATCTTCCTGCGCTCCCTTTTATCTTCAAAACAACCCTGCAAGATGTATTTCTGCAGCTCAAAAGAAATGCACAGAAAGACTTGCTCTGGAGACTTGATCATTGCATGTGCGCACGGGAACAAGTTTCCAGTTCTTCCCATTGTTCCCAGTAGTATTGTTCCTGGCCAAGCTATGCCCCCCCCCCCCCCCCGCAGGGTGCTGCTGAGTCTTTTTCCAGCTGCATTCTTGAGGCTGGGAGTTTAAGCTATTTTCAGCAGAGTTGCAAAACCTTTTTCACCCAAGGGTCAATTTCAGTTCCTTAGCAGCCCTTATGGGTTGCAGTGAATGCAGTCCTGAAATTGTTTCCCCCACCCCCAGAATACTTCACTTAAAGATGCCATTTCCACATTTAGGCAGGAAAAAGAACTACAGTGCACCAACCATGGGGGAAATGAAAACTGTTGGCCAAAATGCCAAATAGAGCTGGACGATTTAGATTTAATTAATGGTGTGTTTGTGGCTTCCCTTTATGAAATGCAGCCTAGAATCATCTATTTTACACACAGTGTGGAAATCCATGATTCAAGGCGCAAGGTGGGGAGCTGAAATATAGGCGGCATAATCAACTACAGTTGTGCAAATAAAAATAGTGGACCTAAGACCTGAGGATGGTATGAAAACACAGCATCTTGCCTCATTCACCCTACACGCACACCCACAATACCTAGGATCAATTCTGCAAAAGCAGGTCACCAGAGCAGCTGGGACCTATTCAGAGGTAACTCCTCTCCACGCACCTGGGCAAATACGCTGGTCTTCTCTGTTGTATCCTCTTACTGGATTTCCGTTTCTGTGCGGGTTGGGTCCTGTCTGGCTCTGAGCCGGTGGGAGCATGCACCTAACCCCCCACGCTTTTCTCCTGGCCCCCCCTTTTCCTCCTTTCAGTGCCCCCCGGCACCTCTTTCCAAGCAATGACCTCCAAGCCAAAGAAGCGGGTGACCTCCACGCGCCCCGAGCCCCCCAACACGGAGCAAATTCTGGAGGATGTCCAGCGTGCCCAATCCAACGACCCCGTGTTTGTTCTCCTGGCGGAGCCCAGTGAAGGTAATGGAGTGCCAGATCCCTTTCAGCCCTTATGCTTCATGCTAGGGAGAAACCAAGACCAGCGTTTGGACTCTCCCACCTGCTTGTCTGGTACAATTTTAGGGTGCTTTTGTATTTGCCTGAAGAAGGCTTGCACAATAACACAAGCAATAACTTAGTCTACTAACCTGTGGAGCTTAGGATTTTAAATTATATTGTTTTACTCTTTCCTGGCTTTATCTTTCCCTTTTAGCTGTTTCAAATCATTGCACACTGCTTTCATGGCTTTTTGGGAAATAAGACTGCCATTTTAATAAAATACATATGGAATAAATACAGTTTTATCTAAAGAAACATAAACTTTAAAGGCACATCAGATATTTAATTCCAGAAATAAACCCCACTGAGGTTTAGGGAGCAGAGAATTCTTCTTACTTTATTCAGGAAGTGGGATCCCAATAGATTATGAAATCCTGCCATGTTTTCTTTTTTTTGTGTCATTTATGGCAAATAAATAGACTTGATGGCCTTCATGGCCCCTTCCAGCTCTCTGATTCTATGATCCAGGGGGTTGGACTTGATGGCCTTCATGGCCCCTTCCAACTCTCCAATTCCTTGATTTTATGATTCTATGATCCAGGGGGTTGGACTCGATGGCCTTCATGGCCTCTTCCAACTCTCCAATTCCATGATTCTGTGATCCAGGAGGTTGGACTTGATGGTCTTCATGGCCTCTTCCAACTCTCCAATTCCATGATTCTGTGATCCAGGAGGTTGGACTTGATGGCCTTCATGGCCCCTTCCAACTCCACTATTCCAGGATTCTATGAAATTCCCTCACAGACAAACTGACCTTGTTTTCTATCGGCTTGCTCAATTTGAAGGTATAATAGCTAATTTTATCTATCCTTTATTATGATTATTATTTTTTATCGCCATAACTACGCAAGGGATGTGTTGAGCCTCTTCCAATCCAAGGGCTGAATTCCATTATGGAGGTTCTCGTGGGCACATTCCAGCAGTGGGCGTGTCTAAAAGCACAGTGGGAGGAGCCAAAAGACCAAAACACATCAGCCTGTGGTGTCCTGAAGCTCTTTAGGTGCCCAGTAACTCTTACGAGAGGCATTTCAGCCTTTTCGAATGGGCCGGACATGAGAGTTTCATCCCTTTCTCCCCTCATTCTTTCCGTCTTAGATTTGCCCACTCCAGCCAAGAACGAAGACCCAGAGGCCAAGCGGGAGCGCCTCTATCGGCTAACCCAGTCCTACGTGGAGATGAACCATCGCCTGCAGAAGGCCTGCAGCCTGCTGAAGGAGAAATGCGAGGAGCTGAAGCGCGCCGGTGCGACTCTGGAGCAGGGCATCCTGGAGATGAAGCAGAGGGCCTTGTGAGCGGCTCGCAGGGGGCGATGCCCGCAGCCCACTGGGACAGCCAGGCGAATCAAACATCGAGAAGTCGGCCAGCACACGCCCGAGCGACAAAAGACTCCTGAGTCCAGCATGCATAAGCTACCCCTCTCGAGCACCGTCCGTGTTTTCAGTTCCGTGAATGTGTGCCAAGAACAGCTGCTTCTGGAAGGCTGAAGCAGCCTCGCTCAGCTCTCCTTGCCATGCCCAGTAGTATGGTTAGCGTCCCCCGTAGTTTCTTTCACCCCAGGTTCGTGAGTTCCGCCCTCCGTTCTGCTTGGATCCCTCACCCTTCTTGGCTTCCTTCGCACAGACTTCAGGCGGGTTCCTCGGTGGGGCCGGGACAGGAGGGGAGCGCAGAGCAGGGGGCCGGCACCCACTGCGGGTTGCTTGCCATGACCGCTCCGCCGCGGCGCTACGATTTCTCCCTCTGGTACTGCCTCAGCGACGATCACATCGCGACTTCCATCGGCAAGATCCTGACCAAGCAAGGCCTCCGGGGCTACATCGAGCACCAGGACCACGTGGCCGGGCGGTCGGTCATCGCCTCGGTGAACGAGATCATCCAGAGCAGCCGCGTCGCCCTCGTCCTCTTGACCTCGCGCTCTCTGGCTGACCCGTGGTGCCAGCGCGTCGTGGAGTGGAACCTCGTCCACACGATACTCCAGGAGGGGACGAAAGTAATCCCGGTGTGTGTGGATGTCAGGCAGGAGCAGATGCCGCCGGCGCTCAGGCACCTGACCGGACTCGAGTACAGAGGGCCATTCTTCAGGCAGAGGTTGCTTGACAGCGTGCAAAAGGCCAGGTCGCCCACAAGGACCCCGTGCCCTTCCAGTCTGACCAGGGTTGGTGTCTAAGGGTCTGGAGAAGCGGATTGCGGAGGGGTTGTGGAGGCCGCAGCTTGGTTGTTGCATTCTGACCATCTCTAGACGTGTGTTGGGTTCATTTTGTGTTTCACTTAGGCCCCATCGTGATGTGGGTTGGTGCCCATGAACAGGTCTCAGTAGATTCGTGCCTGGAGCTGATGTGTGGGAACGTCTTTAAGTGAACAAAGTTTTAGGTGTTCTGGGGAGCGAGTGCAAGGGAGGGGAGCTGTCCTTTGTTCTTTGTCTGGTAGGGAGGGAGTTGCCGTCGAGAGAAACGCCAAGTCCTGAGACTGCTGATTGTTGCGTTCAATTTAATTGCAGGAGCTCTTATTAAAAAGCAGTTTTTGGACAACTTTTGGCTGTGTGGGCTCCTTCGGTATACCCCTCTCTTCAGTTGAGTTGAACTGTGGTGACATGGAACGTTCACAAACGCCACAAATCAAGGTGTAAAAGTTTGTGGTGACATGGAACGTTCACAAACACCCCAAAACAAGGTGTAAAAGTTAGTTGTGTTAGGTTAGGCTGCAGCAAGCAGACAGTGCTCAAAAAAGCACCGCCAGGCAGAAAAGGAACAGCATACCCATTCTGGCCGATAATTCTCCTCATCCTTCATCTGATGGGAGTTGCAGGCTGAAACAGCTCGACGGTCACAATTTGCCCACCTCTGCCTCAAAGACTTTTAGGGATCATTCTTATGGTGTTCCTAGACTGCTTGGGATTCTTTGGATGACAGAACTCTGACCTGGGAGAGGGGGATCTGTTCTCGGATCTCCCTCTCCCCCAGTGTCGCCACCAGAGTGTGCCTTGCAATCTACTTCTCCCGTACTGCAGCACGGATGTCCAGTCACTTTCCCTCCCCAAAGCGGTAATTCCTTTTTTAAGCCCGCTCAGAAGCGAGCAGGCATATTGGCCAGCGTTGGATCTGGGGCTCACAGATGAAAACCCCTGCTTTATAGGGTTGCTGGAAACATTTAGGCATGAGTTCACAATTTCACTAATCTATGGCTAGTGCGTTTACAGAACATCTTTAAAAAACAATAAATATTATTTATCATGAATAAATGAATACTATTCGAGGATAAATCTCTATTATTTGTTTCTCTTTATAGCCTGTCTTTCTCCCAAGGACTTCAAGCCGTGTACGTAGCATTCCCTGCATTGCATCATCACAACAACCCTATGGGGTAGGTTAGGGTTAGAGGGACTGCACAGGGTCAGCTTTGTTACCAGGGCGCATTTGATCCTTAAGAAAACAGAGAAATGAACACAAAAGATTTCTTGAGCATAGAAATGGGGAAAGGCGTGCTTCTAGCGCAAAGCACGTAGACTTTCCCTTGCAAACAGAAGCTGGGACTGTGAGATGGCGACCAGACAGACAGTGGGAGGGTTGGGCATTTCAAAGTCGCAAGAAGTCACTGCACCACTTTTTTCTACACGGGTCAAAATCCTCTGTCTTGGGGATGGCATTCCAGAGCTGGATGGATCTGAAAGCAAAGGAGTGTGGCCAAAATGAAGAGGCAAGACTTCCAAGGAGCCCTTGTCACTGAGCCTTTGGAGATTATTTCCAAGCACTTTGAATGGGGTCTGTGGATGGAGTTCAACAGGCCTGGCCTTGAGCAACACCTAGCAAATAAAAACACCTCAGTGTATCAAGCTAACCTTTCACTCTTTTTCCAGAGGGACGCCCTTCCAAAGTGCTTTCTTTAGAAAACGGGAACTGGGTGGAGTTGTTTGAATAAAGCAGAATACTATGGGTACCCTTCCCTCTGTCTAGCCCTGCCCAAATCCCAGTTTTCACAGAAATGGGGGATTTTGAGAGCTTTCAGAAGCAAGTGCTTGTGAGAATAGGACTGCTGGGTGGATTTTTCCACCTTGAGCAGCCAGAATCTCAGAAATGGGTGGAAAGGGGGCAACTATCAGCAACGGGTTTGGAGATTTGTCAGCATAATGCAACTTGGAGAGTATTTGGATGTTTGGGTCAGTGTTTGGGGTTCTTAAGTGGTACATTGATGGGATGTTTCTCGGGTGAACATCTCATTTGTAGAAATGCAGGACTGCACACCTCCACAGTAGCACCAGTCTGGAAAAATAAGGGGAGATTCCCCCCATGCCATAAAAGAAGTTTCTGAACCCGTGACAACCCCTCCGCTGGGCCAGTTGGACTTCCTGGGAGGCTGCCACTGGCAGGTGATTCAGAGATCATGAAAGGTGTTATGTCAGGAAGAAGAAATGTTTCCTTTACCTACCACGTCCTATGGGATGCAGGTGGGAAGCCTGGAGGGGAAACCCATAATTGGGGCTCACCCTTAGTTTGTGGAACCATTGCTTATAGTTGGAGTGGGTTTGTTCCTGTGTTGATAAATATGAAGGGGGATTCTGACCAATTGGATTGCAAATAAATGACCGAGAGAATTTGCCGGAGCGCAAGATTCACAGCTCGTCTTTTCCTGATGAAAGGATCTCTGCCATTGAGATCGGGCCTCAGCAGAATGATGTAGCATTTGGGGAGTAAGATGCACCCCAAGAGACCAGCTCCAGAGATCAAGATGGAGAAGACCTCCATGGCCACCATGGCTTTCGCCTTGGGCCTCAGGTAGGTGGGCACGAAGGTGACCCAAATGTGGCAGAACACCAGCATAGTGACAGTGATGAGCTTGGCTTCACTGAAGCTGTCGGACAATTTTCTAGCTTGGAAAGCTGCTGTGAAGCTGACACGGGCCAGGAAAGCATGAAGACGCAGGGCCTCACACCAGAACTGATGAAAGACCACTTTCTTCTTTTTCCTTTTCCCTCCCCGTGCGTTTTTCCTTTTGTGCCATGCCTTTTTTGCTCTTTGAGATCGTGACCCTCCAGGTGCGGGGGGCAGGAAGCGTCTCGTTCGATTCACTATGTCACGGCAGCCCAGAATAGAATAGAATAGAATAGAATAGAATAGAATAGAATAGAATATCAAGCGCTTCTAAAAACGCCCTGAATAAAAAGGCCTCCGTTCGCCGCGGCGATCGGCTCGCGCGCCAGGCCTCGCAGAACCACCGAGGAGCGAGCCCAGAGCGTCGCCCACGGCGAGCGCTCTCAAACCGCGCGATCCGAGCGTCCACTCTATGGGGAAGACGCTTAAGAGAGCGCCTCGGAGGAACGGAGCCTTTCTAGCTGGTGGGCTCCGTGGTGGGGCCTCCGCGCCTGCGCAGAAGCGCGTCTCGCTCGCTCTCCGGTGAAGCGGCGGCGGTGGGGCTGAGGCGAGGCGAGCCCGGTGCGGGCCCTCGCCTGCCTGCCCGCCCGCCTCCCCGCTGGCCGGGCCATGGAGCTGGACGCCTCCGACGAGGCGGGCGGCGCTGAGGCCGCCGCGGGAGCTGTGCCCCCTGAGGCCGCCGCGGGAGGATGGGCGACCCCGCTCGACCCCTCCGCCACCGGGGAAGGCAGGCAGGCAGGTCGGTGCGGGCCGGGGGTCCTCGCCGCCCCTCCCTCCGCGCGGCGACGGGGCGGGTGCCGGGGGAGTTGGGGGCACCGCTCGCGGCCTCCTGGGGGCATCAGTCGTGGGGGTCCTGTGGGGAAGGGGCGGCGGGGCGGGGCGGGGGTGAGGTGGAGCCCCGGGGGAATGAGGGTCCCGTGGGGGGAGGGAATGATGGGGGCGGTCCTGGGGGGTGCCAGGGGGAGTATGTGGGGTGGGAGGGGGAAGTGCGAAGGAAGCTAATAGGGGAGGGGGGCATGGGGGGCTGTGGGGGCATGCATGATGGGGGCTGCGAGGGGGATAATGGGAGTGGGAGTGGGCAACAGGGCATGAACTATCCGTCATGCTCGGACTTCATAATTCTGGAAGGAAAATGGGGAATGAGGGCATCCGGGGGCGCCCTTTCGAAGTAGCGGGGCAGGTGGGGTGGCCGTGTGGGGTGCAGCGGGAGGGCGCGGGGGCAGCCCCGGAGATGCCCTGGGAAGCCTTGCATTTTGAGTTAGTCACCCTGGTTGTGGAAAACCGCTTCCCTTGCTCAGAGTAGCGCTGCAAATCCTGTGTGGGGCTCTGTGGGCGAGGGGAGGGGAGGGGAGCTCGTGGAGCCGCTATTAGCAAGCTGTTCGCTGATTTTATGGTCTTCCGTGGGGCAGGGGAGGGACACATGGGGCTGTTACGAATATTGACAGCGAGGGGCTGTGCTGCGCTGTGCTGTGTGCGTGGAGGGGCGGGAATTTGGGGTCTGTCATTAAAAGCATTAGCTATGCCACTAATATTAAAAATGCTCGTGAGAGAATGTGCAGCGGGAAAGAGGACGTGGGGGTGGTTTTAATAGCATCCCTAATTCATCACTGATATTGCTGATGCGATGTCGTGTTAGGGGGATGGCTGGAGGAAGTGTAGGCTTCTTAAGTGTAATTAGTCATTAAACAATGGTGATGGAGACATGAGTAAACAAGGGCATGAATCTTGTATACTTGTTATTATGTTTGTTTCCCGGGGGAGGGTGATGGAGACCCCAAGGCTCCTGTCGGTAGCAATGCCCATTTTCATCGGTCATGGTGGTGGTACGGAGGATGGTGATCATAAATGCTGAGAATGTGGTGCCCAGAAGAGTCAAGAGTAGATTATTTTTAATAAAAATAAATATACAGGTATGGATGATCATGCGGTGCACCCTGGGATAGGGTGGTAAACACAGTTCTGCAGTGGTTATTGCTTTTTTAACAGTAATATCTGCTGAGGGAATGGGAGGCCTTTTGGATGTCAGTCTTTGGAGGGTTGTAGGTGTTGAGCTGCCATGAATAAAATTACAAGTAATAATAATGCATGTAATAGCAGCTTTGATTGTTTGTGGTTGGGTCTGTTGGGGGAGTGAGAGCAAGCTGTGGAGATATTAGTGAAAGTGTTTGTGTTAATATTAGCAACTATAATATTAGGGCGTGTGTTAGTATGTTGGTCTTGGGAACTTCTTCAGTGAATCTGTTAAACGTTTTTTGAAGGGGGGATAATTGGTTGGGGTCTGGAGAAGATCTGGGCTGAGGGACAAAATAGAAATCCCATTGCTCATATTGGGGGAAATAGGAAGGAAGGAATTGTTGGGTTATTGGTTTTATTAATACTGCTAGTAGTAATAACACCAGTACTATGAAATGCTGTAACTGGTTTGAGGAGCAGGTTAGCGGAATGGTAGCGCAGTGGTCAAAAGCAGGCATTGGGGAGGGTCATAAATAGGATTAAACATTGTATTGTATGGGGTGGAGAGGAGAATGGGGCTCGTAAGCAAATTGTAAGTGTATGTCTGGCAACGGTTGTAATTAAGTGTTGAGGTGGGAAAGGAAATTTAGGCTTGGATGTAAGCAGGCACCTCTGGGGGCTTGGGCATGCAGAAATTTGGGGGTGTAAGGGTTTGCTTCAAATGAGAGATGGTAGATCCATTTTGTTAATAAATGAAAGCAGCTGAGAGTCTGGGGGAAATCCTGACTTGGCAGGGGGAGTGTTAGAGGGGATTTGGCCAGCAGGTGTGCAGATGGAACACAGCTGAAGTTCAGGGGAGATGGGGGGGGCAATGGGGAGATGCTTGTGCGAGGACTCTGGGGGAGCGTGGCAGAAGCACTGCAGGGGTCCTGGGAGGGAGGGGATCCTGGCATTTGTGCTGGTGGGGGAAATCTCTGGGGCTGTGAAGGGAGAGGGAATGAGACACTGGGGAAGGAGCGTGAAGGAGGAGCGGAGTGATGTAGCCGGCTGTGGCCTTGTGCATGCAAGGTCATGGGGAGGGGGCTTGACCTGTGGGATTGTCTGACAGCGATGCCACCAGCCTCGGGGTGGAAGGAGAGAGCATTGTTTTGTGGGAAAGGGTGAGGAGAGATGGATGGGCCACATGGGAGAAGGTGGCTTGATGCTGGCCTTCCTCTTTCCCAAGCCTGTGAGTGCTCTCCCTCACCTTCCCGTATTTATTTATTTATTTATTTATTTGGACCTCCCTCCTCTCTTTAATCTCTCCCCTGTAACAGAGACCCCTGCTCTCTTCCCTGCTTCCCAATCCTTCACGGAGCTTCAGCATGATTTTGTTCCCTGCTCTCCGAAGGACGCTTCTCTCCCTGCTCCTTTAGAATTTATTTTTAACACCGAGCAATTGGGTTTGTTCCTTCTCCACCCTCCCCCAGGAAATGCTCCCATCCTTCCAAACTGATCTCACTTGGAGGAGTTTAGGAGCTGCTCTTGTTCGCCGTGGAAGCTGCTAGGAATGTTAAAATCAGGCCAGACCAGGGTTCCAAAAAGTCTTCCGGGGCTTCTGGTGCTAGCATGCAAAAAGCACTGCCTAGCAGTTCTTCCTTTTCCTCCATTGTGGATTATCTGCAGAAAGGGGGAAAAAAGATGGGAAAAGCAACGGGCAGACAATGGGGGTGACATATGCACCCCCATTCCATTCCCTATGCTCCCATAAAATTCCGTGAATGAGCCAGTGCTAAAAACCTCTGACCAGCGTGTGAGCCAATTTAACCTCTTAACATGAAACAAATTATGGCATTACCTTCTCTTTTTCTGTTTTTAGTGTCTGCTGGAAGTATAAGAGTTGGTGTCATTTTTAAACATCTCACTGTCCCTTCCCCAGCAAATCATTGGAATAAAATCTATCTTTAATGGTGCCTTGATGATTTTCTCTTAGGACTGGAATAACCTGAAATGAGAGAAGCCCCCCACCCCATTTAAAACTAGCATGCATGATTTAAAATTGATTCCCTCCCCTTCAGCATGAGTCACTCGTAACCCTCGTTAACTAGCATGTGATAATGAGGCAGGATTTGTCTGGCTTGCTTGTCCCCTCGCCCTCAGTCTCTTCCTCCGTGCATGTTTAGGGAGAAAGCTGGACATCAGCTGCATCCATGATGACGAGGGCCTTCACTGCAGATTTATTTTTTAAAATCCATAGGTATACACTTGATCGTTGAGATTTTCACATGTGCTTACTAGGCAGCGCTGCTGTGGAGTAGTTCAGCTTCCCCTTGCCTGGTACCACCCAGGTCTGTTGGACAGCTCCCAACTAGAGTTTGAACCTTTAGGGGCCAGCAAAGCAAGGGTTGCCTTGGAGGTGATGTGAAGCAGGCCGCATCCCGCCTGTGGCAGTAGACCCCACATGTGTGAAGACAGTATCGCATGGTGGTTGGACTAGGGAGCTGGGAGCCCCGGGTTCTAAGCCACGGGGTGACTCCGGGCCCATCACTTCCTCTCAGCCCAGCCTCCCTCACGGGACTGTGGTCATGAGGATAAAATGGAGGTATGCAAGCCACCTTGGATGACCAAGAGGAAGAAGGCAGAATATGACCGCAAGGTAACAATGATAATAAACATAAGTCATCCCTTGGATGCTGCTGCAGTCGCTGACGGGATTCACGTGGGTTGAGGTTATTAGTACTGTTGCGCATTGGGCAGTGCATTAAGGTGATTTTTTTGCTGCAGATGATGCCTTTATAGGTTACCGAAAGTTGCTCTGTGGAGTCAAACTAGCTTGAATCTCCCGCAGGGGAGACAGGAGGAGACCCACCCCTTTGCTGCTGCTTGTCTGATGCGTCTTCAGCACACCTGGGAGAAGCGCTCAGAGACTTGGTACAGGCGGCCTGGGCTCTTGGGGCGACAGGAGGGAGGGTGGCTCCCTGCTGGCTTGGGAGTGTCACGAAGGGCAAAGAACAGGGTGGCCTGAGCAAATCTGGCCGGGCGCCTCTTAAATCCACAGTGACGTACATGTAAATAGGAGTTATTAGGACCGCAGCGATGCCTGGGAGAAATGAGGACACGGCAAAGCGTGGTGTCTCCTAAGGGCTGCAGGCAGCGAGGAAGAAAGCTTCTTCGCTGCCGTGCCTGAAATCCCTTGCGGTGGCTCACTTGCGAATCCACAATTGTCGGGCAGCCTTTCCCCAGCTCTCCGGCAGAGCTGCCATATTCCAGATCTGTCTATCTGTCCCAACTTGGCCCTGAACGCCTGTGAGAGCCCTGGATGGGGGACCCGGAAGATCTGGGGTCCAGTCCTCTCTCAGCCCCGAAGCGGACTCTCGGCTGACTTTAGGCCGCCAGTCTAAACTACCTCCCTGGGTTGTAGTGAGGATAAAACGGAGCTATTACAGCCACCGTGGGTTCCTTGCAAGAAGAAGAAAAGGTGGAGTATCAATTTGGTGGTGATGATGATGATGTCTCTGCTCTGGAGGACAGCGACTTGCCAGGACTTCAGGCCAACCTCCTCTGACTCTCCCTGAAACTATTTATTTATATTGATAGATAGATTGGTTAGCTTTTTATCCCACCCCATTAGCCATAAGGCTCCCTGGCCTGGCAGCCCCAGTGTGCAAAGCAGGTGCTCTCTTCTCTTGTGAAGTCGGGGTCCCTCCCAAAAGTGACACAATCGCCGTTCATCTCCAGGTCTCGTCTACCACTGGCCAAGGTCTCCAGCAGGGTCTGCTCGCAGACCAGTTAGCGGGAGATGGGCAG